CCATCCCTTAGCAAACAGATTCTCTTCCGAGAAGGCTGACTGGGGAGCCAGAGCGCCCATCGGTTTGTGAAGAATGAGTCAAGCGTTCAGACTAAGCAAGTACCAGAGTTCCATCTCGCAGCGTACCAAAACTAGCCTCTCCCCTCTGCTGCCAAACTCCAGCTGGGTGGTATGTTCCTTACGCTGATTCTCAAGGCTCACTTGACCACGGTGCAAACGCAGTTTACGCTCTGCTTCAGGAGCGAATTGAGCAATAATTTATAAGGTGGCAGTGCGTTGGCTTTTGCCCAAAACAGGGGTCAAACGCTGGGTTACGGTCGTTCCTCGGCGCGGTTGAAACTTCTCAGTCTCTCTGTGCTGGAAGCCGAAACGCAGCAAGATACCTCCCGGGAAATCCTCTCTCAGGCATATCTAACAGGATGATTGCTTACTGCAAAGCTTGACCACTTTGACGTTTGCAGTCAGGTCTCTCGTGCACCTGGGTTTTCAATTTCCAGCCTCTTTTGGCCTTCCTCACGTGAACAAACAGACGATAGATGTGATGGGTTTCAGCTTTTGTGTCCCTGAGCAGGAGGGGTATAGCTTTTCTAGCCGTGATCTGGCCATGCTGCCATGGCTGGCAAACCATGGCTAACGGAAGCTCTCTAGAGCAAAACACCGGAGTCTTTATTGTGTTTGAAGGAAAAGGGCACGTGCCTGGGAGCTGCACCCAAACTGCAGCCTTTGTGGGGCCGGTTAGTGGGTTGCAGTAGGAAGTATGGCACCTACTCACTGGGGTTTGGATCTGTAACGTGGCCCCTTCCTGGGAAGCGTTGAAGGTGCAGAATCCCTTCTGTTAAAACTGTGGTTAAGACTTGTGGGTACGTGCATCATAGCTCCTCCTCGATATTTTCTCAGCGTTGCTCTTCTCCATCCTCCCGCAACTCTGGTGAGGGAGGGGGCTTGATTTATCCACCTAGAGGTGCTGCTCTTGTGCCGTGACCTCAGTGACGCTCTTAGTGACGGTGTTTCAGACTTGCCAAAGCTGTCGTTTTGTAACGCCTCAAGTTGGGGTCAAATTTGAGAGGCCGTTGTCCTTTGGCCTAACAGCTGTGCACACGTGTCCCTGCTACAAGGCTGACAGAGTCGGTGCTGCGAAGGCTGTGTTTGTGCCTCGGGTTGGACCGAGGGAAAGGCATTGAGGTGTCTGCCTTCTCATCCAGAGGCAGTGTTACAGCCTGCAGAGAAACTGAGAAGCCTGAAATGAGACTTGACGTGGTATCTTTCTGGTGTTCACGTTTTTATCCCAGCAGCTCAGCTCACTCTTCCCGCTGAGGTAATATCTACCTTTGCAAGTTTCTCAGTGTTCACTTGAAGCTGGGAAAAGCCGTCGCAGAAGCAGACGTGTACGGATCACCGGAGCTATTCTGAGCTATACAAGAGCGGCAGGCCAGAAATGCTGTAAAATTCCCTTCTCATCTCCATTAGGGTTGGCGTTGTTAAACCATAACCATATGTTCTCATGTCAGGCGGCAGCAGTCGCTCCGCAGCACGCTTTGTATCGCATCCAGCAGGACTCCATCAGGTACGGTTCCCACTGACATCAGCGGGAGCTCTGCCTGAGTCAGCACCGCTGCTTTTGGTTCCCATGTAAAGATCTCCAAACATTTCCAATACATTGTGTCGGGCGATGCTTTATTATATGTAAGCAACGTCAAGCAGATGGTTTCTGCAGCAGTTTTCCTCATTTGGCAAAACGTGCTGGCAAGTGCAGCTAGGTAAACGTTGTGAGAAAGTTGAACGAAAAAATGCGTCTGGTTGAGGCTGAGAGCGATATTCAAAAGGGAAGCTAGACTTTTTGGCTCCTTGATGGTGATTTTCAAAAGCTTTTTAGTTTATAAACCTTTTAAAAATCTCACGGTGGTTTTTATTCTGTATACTTAAAGGAATGTAGGATCTTTATCCATTCCTGTTTATCTCACAGAAGAATGTCTGGTGATGGTGAAGTGGAAATCCTTTGTTTGCTTGATTCAAAAAGACACTTGGAAACCTCCTTCCTCCTTGGGAAATGTTCTTTGTAGACGGAGAGCCATGAGGAATATACAATATGCATCAGCCTGAATAACGCACACGCCCACCCACTTTTTTTCACCTTGAGGTTGCAACTTGTCCTTCAGGGAAGAACTCTGTGTCCAAAAATTGTTTTGAAGCGTCTGCTACAAAGCAGGACACCCTGCTGAAGGTATATGGCAGTAAATTTGAAGGTACTTACGGTGGAGGCAGAGAACGAAGTGCCAGGGCTCTGGAGAATAGTGGTTCCCTACAGGTTTACATACTTGTCTTGTTTTTTTGCCCCACCATAGAGTACAAGTAAACTTGGGGCGAGGGAGGAGACGTCGTCGCTTCCACCGTCATCGGGTGTTTAGTGTTGAAGTTTAATTTCATTTAAATTTAAGCAGTAGCATCTTTTTCCCCATTAAACTCTTGTTGCACAGCGTTAACATCCCAAAGCTCTAACGGTGACTGCGTGTGCTTCCAAGGCCTCTGAAGGACTGGGCTCTGCAGTTCTATGACACAGCACCCTGTTCCACATAGCGTCCCGTAGGGACTTCGTGAATTAAGCTCTAGGCAAAGAGCAGAGCTGCTCTGCCACGATGACTGCGGGAACACACGGGGGTACCCAGATGAGCTTAATTGCTAGCCACCTAGGAGCTCAGTAGCTGGCAGAAGAGGGCTCCGTATGGGGTAGTTTCCTGTGCCAAGCAGCAGTGAGACAACAACGTCAGCATATCTCAAGTAATTAATAAGTAACTGAGCTCAAAAGGGTTTGTCTGTGTTTGAATTTGGAGGTGTCTTTGCAAATCCTGTTTAGAATACTTGTAGTTCCACTTGTGTAGCTGTGAAAGTTCCTAACTTTTGTAGCCTCTAATCTCTCCAGGCGACAGTAGATGTAAAGTGGAGCTCGTGTTTTTACCAACTTCAGCATATTCGGGGGCACTTACAGCTGAGACAGCTATGTTCTTGGGTTAGCATATATTGTTTCTGTGGCTTTCGACAGCTACAAGACAAAAGGTGCGTGTCTTCAGGTTTCTAGGGAAAAGCAAACAAAACACAGAACTGAGCTGATGTTTCTGACAGTCCTCGTGTACAGCGGATTCTACTGCCAGTTTCGGAATCAGTCGTAAGCCCTCACTGGGGGGGCACTTATTCAAGGTCAGCATCTGTTCAGTGGGGCCGGGATCAGTTTCCGCTGTTACTTACTTTTTTTAAAAAAAGGAAAAGGTGCGAAATGAGGTTATTCAAATTGAAAGCTCCGCTTGAAAACGCATCTTTTTAACAACTGGAATGTTCATATTACACTTCATTAACATTTTTAATGGGAAAACACTTCGTTTTTTCTCTTCACTAAGAAAATCA